ACAGAGAGAGAGAGAGAGAGATCCATTTATGAGCGGTTTGCCGACTGACGGTCTCTGAAGTCCTTCGGAACAGGCGTCAACAGAGCCCTTCTCGCCATATCCCAGGCAGCATACTGCACCCCACCACAACACACCGCCACAGAGGTGACGTATGTGTGTGTGCGGTGAGGAATGTGCGTATATTTGTGTGTACGTGTTTCCTGAGTTCCTGCATGTCGGCGATGATCTGTTCGTCGGAGGTGCCCCACCGCTGACCCTCAATTTCGGGCACTTTGTTCTTGTTGCGGAGAGCTGACAAACACACACACACACACACACACGACCTCTCCCTCCCTCCCTCCCTCCCTCTCAGCAAGCTTACTAAACACAAAGACCTGCGCCATCTGCAGCAGCCGATACCCCCTCAACGCGTCCCCAAACCATAGGCACATCCGCCCCAACAAATGGTACGCCGCCACGACGCCCACGTTGCACTGGGTGGGGATGAGGGGCAGGTGGACGTCGGCCGTCACGTGCAGCAGCAGCCGGCTGAGGGCATCCTGAAGGTGTGTGGTGTGTATGTCAGTGCCACATCTGTCAAGCCATCTCTCTCTCTCCCTCTCTCTCTCTCTGTCTGCCTTTGTGTGGGTGTGTCGGTGGATGGATGGATGGATGGACGCCCACCCACCGCTGTTTCAATGGTGGCATTGTCACTGGCAGCGAGGAACGCCCGACGCAGCTCTGACCACGGAGAGGACTCGTCCGCACACCCTGACACACCCACACCATCCATCCATCCATCGCCAGCCGTATGTGCAGTGAATTCCTTCGCTTACGCACTCCATTTGTCGTCTTCACTCAGGCCATCTGCACCGCCCGACAGGGGGAAAGGTGCCGAGAGGGGGGAGGTGGTGTTGGTGTCCTGGCCGTGGCCGCCGCCGCCGCCGGTGCCGCAAGAGTTTCGGTGATCTGCATCTTCCGAAAGGTGGCACGCCCTGTCAGTGGCGGCCCTTGCAGCTGCCGCAATGTGGGTGTCCGTGCCGCCATCGGCCATTCCCACCGGCAGCAGCCACACCACCAGCAGCATGCCGGGAAGAGGAGCCCACGAAGTCATCAGCGACATCCCATGGTGGTTCCAATGACAGATCTGCTCCTCAGGACGACCGATGCTCCTTCCCTCCTCACTGCTGCACCGCTCTCCCAGCAGATCTGCGGCTGCGGGCGAAGTTCGGTGCCAGATCGCATGGTGGGGGCCTGGGGGTTTCGCCGTCTCGTGAAGAAACGCGCTGTTTTCAGAGAATTCCGGGAAGCGGCTGTGTTGTAGGCTGCTTTGCGTAGCTTGTTGGTCAGCCACACGACGGAAGAGAAGAAGGGAAGCGTCGGAAGGATGTCGGAGCCTTCTTCTTCCCCTTCCTCCGCCGAGTCCACTGCTGCAGCAGGTTTCGCTGATGCTGTTGTTGGTGACCATGGTGAGGGTGTTGGTGAGGGGGCGTCGGCCAGCAGTCCCAATAGCAATGGCAGTGGCGATGGAGAGCAGCATGACCATGAGAGGGAGAGGGAGGAGGACCACCCAAGCGACCACCATGACGAGGGTCACCCCACTCACAGCCATGATGCTGATGCAGAGGAGCCGGCTTCTCCCTCCTCCCCAGCAGCGGCAGCGGCGGCGGCAGCGGCAGCGGCAGCGGCAGCGGCAGCAGCAGGAGCGGCAGCAGGAGCGGCACTGCCAGCAGCTGGTGGCCCTGGTCAAGAAGACTATGAGCGAGGCCAAGTCCGCTGGACAGTCGACAGCATCACCCAGCCACCAGCAAGACCCACAAGGACCACCAGACGGACATCCATCCCCCCAACAGTCATTCCCAAGAGCCGCATGAGCGCCACACAGAGAAATGCGCGCGAGGCGCGGCGGAAGAACCCCATTGACAAGGAGAACTTTGGCATCGACTACTGCCGGCCGCACCTATTGTACAGAGACCCTGTGGAGGATGTGGCGGTGGCGAGGGCGAAGAAGGGCAGGGCCAAGGAGTGGAAGCTGCCGATGAGGCGGGCTGTCGTGGTGGGGTGCAACTACCTTGGTCAGTGTGTGTGGTGGGCGTCGGTTGAGGGAGGGGTATCTCTCTCTCTCTCTCTCTCTGTGTGTGTGTGTGTATGTGTGTGTTGATGGTGTGGGTGTGTGGCAGGTACGCCGTTTCAGCTGTTCGGTGCGGTGAACGACGCGGTGTTGTTCGCCGACACGTTGGTTCGTGAGTTCGGCTTCCACCCCGACAACATAGCCATGCTGCGGGATTGCAAACCAAGCGGTGAGTGATTGTGTGTGAGGGGTCCGTGTGTGTGTCACAGGGCCTCACGTGGCTGTGTGTGGTGTGTGGCCTGTGGTGTGTGGTGGTGTGGTTTTCAGGTCACTACAAGATCCCGCCTTTGCCGGAGGAGGACCCCATGAAGCTGCCCACCAAGGACAACATCATGCGGTATGGGACCTGCAAATTCCACCACCACACGCACACGCACACCGACATTTGGACGGA